TATCATTGCAAGGAAATCCTGGTAGGAGATTCTAAGGAATCATACTCTATTGGATCAATGAAAGTTATATTCTGTTGGATCTTTGAACGTGTCATAGTGTGTTAGTCACCAGTGGTTGCCCTTGCGATTGTAATCAGTTTGGTTATAGTGGATTAAATCCTTAGATAAGGAAAAACCATCCTTGCGAGGATGGACAACAGTAGCCTAGTTAACGACGAACCTGGATAACATACTTGTGTCCTTATCTTTATTATCTTCACTGCTATTATCATTTGAGTGCTTAGAATTTTTAATGGGGAATTTTTTCTATGAACACAATTCAAACCCCTCTTTCTTGTGTTTTTTATACCTTCAATTGGTATCAAAGCCCGACTCTGTTATTGATTTAAGATCAAACATTTAACTGTATAGAGAGATCCAGTTATAGAAAATTGTGTAGTTGTCTACTACTCAAATGATAGAAAGGTTTTATGATTCAAAACCCGTTCTGTAGAGGATTCAAAACTCTGGGCTTGAATCAGAAAATTTGAAGAGGGAATTCCTGAAATAAGTTCTCAGGATTCTGAAGGCTCAAGTACTTAATGGAAATGGATTTCATCTTCTCATTCAACAGAAGTTTTCCATCAGTAGCAAGGGTCATCAAATCAGCACTTTAACTCAATTGAAGATGTCATCCAAAAGAAAAATTGTTGCAAGCTGAAATGGATCCAATCAATGTCATATCGGAAAAATCCATCAAGAACTCCAAGGAGTGAAGAATCAAAAGATGCTCCTCGAGAAACCTATAATTTCTTTAGTTGAAAGAAGCATCTCAGGACAAAGAAAGGAATCTGAAAATACAAGAAGAATACAACGGAAAGGATAAATCAGAATCAAGCTCAAGACAAAGGAAAACTTTTCATAGAACAAGGCTTACCAGATTAGAATTTACTTGATATCTTTCAAAGTATTCACTTAACTCTCTTTAGCCATAATTTAATTCTTTTTAAAAAGTGAAGATAAAATTCCCATTTTTTATCTAGCATACGAATAATCTAAGTAAAATCTATCAAAGTTTAAAATTTACCCTATGTCTTGAAATCTAACAAAATAGTAAAAGATGTTTGTTTCACTCTTAATGATAGTTTTCCTTTCAAAAACTTCACATGTCGTTTGAAGTGACACATGAGCAGTAAGATAGTCTCGATAATAGAAGAAATATCCTCACACCTTACCCTTTGTCAGATTCTACCACTTACTCATCTCCCTACACCTTTGCTAACCTCAGCCTTAAATCCTCAAAATCCCTAAAACTCTCAGTGCGCATTCAAATTTGTTCATCTTCATCAATGTTTTCTCAAAAATCAATTATTGACTCATCATCTCTTCCAAATCAAATTGTTACCAACTTTCCTGAACTTAAATGTTCCATTCCCACGTCTCAGTTATGAATCTTATAAGAATCTGTAGTGAACTTCGAAAATCTCAAGGAAAATGGTTATGATCTCTCCTTAGATGTTTCCTCTCAAGGATGGAAAACCTTCTTTGAAATTATAAAAGGTCATACCTTTCCTGATTTAGTAAAATAGTTCTTAGTTATGGCATGTGAATCGAGACAAGAGATTACAACAAACATCTTTGGAATGCTAGTCATGATTTCTGAAAAATATATCAGACAACTACTTAATCATAACGAGACTGGATTAAAAAACAGCAGCCTAAACAATAAGTACATCAGCAAGAAACACGTGATAAGTGTTTCCTCCTGGATCTTCTTGGAAAATAAGTGCTCCAAAATATTCAAAGATCTTCATCCTTCTCTCAATATCTGGGGAAGAATTATTTTAGAATGCATTTATCAGAAACCTCTCATCAATAAATTACCCTCAATCGACAATAATATAAAAGAAATTTTATACAACCTGACATCAAGAAAAAAGATCAATCTTCCCTTCATTCTTTTCAAGCACTTAAGATATGCTATCAACTGTTCCAGAAGTCATAAAGAGAATCCTATCAAATGGATACCCCTAGGAAGACTCATCACCGCTCTTTTAATCAATTGTGGATTAGTTAACTCCCTCGCTAAATTAAAATTGCATGAGTATCTAACCCCATGATCTGGAAAGTTGCTTGATGGAAGAAACCTAAGAGCTATGTTGCCAAATGTCATCCCTTTGTCATAAGATTTCGTGTCAAACTCTTCAACCTATCATACACTTCAACCTGAAGACAATCATGCATTCACTACTACAGTTGGACCAGAGTTTTTCTTATCTTATCTAAAAGAATGTATGGTCAAGGATGAACTAATTAGTATGTCTCCTGAAGTTTTCACATCAATCCTTCATGATCCTCCTGAAATTATCTCCCCATGAATCATTCAATACATCCTTAGTGTAGCTAAACGCTTTGAATACAAAGAAAGACTTTCATATGTTTTTGAAATCCGTGCCACTATCCATCAAAAATATATAAACCTCAATCAAAGGTTTGATGATTCGTCCAGTGATGAAGATTTGCGCCCTACCTCACCAGAATCTCATATGACCTTTCCTGATGAACCTAGTCCTCTTAAAACCATTATTCCTAGTTTATCCTCTTCCCCTTTTGAAAACCCTAGTAAAATTGTAAAATTTCTTGAATCTCTTGATAAAGAAACATTCTTTACCTCTATAGATATAGTTGAGATATCATCAAGCTTTGAGAAGGAAATTGAATCATCTACTCACTCTGAGTTTTATGAACCAGATTTTCATCCACAAGAACCTAATCCTTTGTCCAATCATGTTTCCCTTGTCAACTCTCACCATGACCATCCCCACTCATTCTCTCCTTATGATCCTCAATTAGAAATAAGTAAAGTGGATCTTACATCCATCACATCCTACAACTTGCCTTCAACTCCTTTTCATCTTGCCTCTTGTCAAACTTCAATAAGGCCACTAACCTCGTCTGAACTCTTCCAAAAGTTTAAACAACTTTCTCTAATCTCTCTTGAAAATATTTTATGGGGGAGTATGCATATAGTGTCTTCACTCATAAAGGTGATTTCAGACTCTCAGTATGTACCAAATACGTCGAGGGATTTCACGAGTGTGATGTTAGTTGTTAACACTTGTCAGGTGTATCTTCTTCAGGAGAAATTAGATTTTCCTCTATGAAAAACCCTCCAACAATAGTGTTAATTGTCTTCTTGGAACTTTGTTCGAGTATCCTCGTGAGAAGATGGTATATGTGTGACCCTTGTCAGTTTTACTAGAGGCCCACGTGTCAATTGAGTTATTAATCCTCACATTAAAAAAATATAAATATTAAAGAGACAAATTTATTGATTATATTAATTTACACTAAAAAAATTATATATCTAAACTGAGAAAGTAATATGAAATAAATGTATACATAGTTCTTATTATCTATATTAAAAATGAGAAAAAAGATGGTGTACTGATAGTGTAAAATATTTTTACACTGTCAATCAATGACAATCATATAAAGCGCTAAGTCACATTGTACATTTTAAAATACTTTTCATGATTTGACACTTTAAAATATTTTGATTAGATTTATGTGTAATATTTTCTTACATTGACAATGCACTAGCATTAAACTCATTAAAAAATATTGTTTGCAAATATTTTTTATTACCTGTTATATTATTTACATGTAGGGGTAGAAATAGGTTAGGCCGAAAATAGAGGCCTATGATGTAATCTACATAGGCTTAGGCTACGACCTAACCTACATAGGCTCAGGCTAGACATAGACTTTTTTATAAGTCTATTTAGTTAAAAAGATTGGGCCTCAAGTCATGAAAAAAGTCTTTTAAATTTAACAAGCCGGCCTATATAAATAAATATAAATACTTTTTTTTATTATTATTATGTTATGTTTTGTACCTTGAATCAAAATAAATAAATAAAACTTAGTTATCTTGGAGAACTTATGAAAATAAGATGAAAACACCTTATGAACAATATTATAAATTATTTTTACAAATCCTCTTAAATAAATAGTCTCACAAAACTTATGTTAATTAATAAGTTAAAATAAATCAATGCAAACAAACTTTTAGTTTCATTCGTTTTTTAATTTTTTTTTGTCTATTTAAATATTATTTAAATTGTTTATTTAGATATGTCTAAATAATAAGCTTTTATGTAGATTAACAGGTTAACCATGTCTTAGAAAGAGTTAAACTCATGTTTAAAAATAAGTCTATAACAGATCACATACTAAATTTTAATTTTAATTTTTTTTACAAGTCAGACTCAGGATTGACAAAATCTAACTCAGCCTAACTTATTTCCACCTTATTTACATGTATGCAAATCAAAATTATTATAGATAAATAAATAATAAAATATATTTTTTATATTAAATTTGAATGGTTAAATATTATTGGATTTAAAAAAGAACTTCAAAAAGTTCATTCACACGAATCCTAAAATTAGATGGTTCACAATAAATTGAGTGGACCATATTGACACCAAATCTTAAAAAGATAAAAGTTTACATGGAAGTTGTACTCCTTCTTCTTCTTTTTTCATAATAATCTATCTACCTACATTTGTTTCTAGATATATTTTAAAAGAAATATTAAATATATTTATTGTCTACTTTCTTTTTTTAATATTTTTTAATTTACATTAATAATTTTGAAAATCAACCTATAGTTAACCTTATAAATTTGATTAAATAGTTGTTTTGTTTATAAATTTTTATTTTTAATATAATTGTAATAAGAAGTTGAGAGATTGAGAGTTTCCACAAAGCAATACTACAAAAACAAATAAATATTATTATTCTCCTTATTATTATATTCCCCTGGTCATCTGCCACTGCAAAAAAAAGTGAACCACCACCACCATGTTCCACTATACAACAAAATCCATTAAATTTTCACACCCCCCAATCCAACTTTCCCAACACTCTCATCACAAAGTTTCATCCTTTGTGCTTCAAATGGAATCAAAATCAACCATCTAACCCTAAAATCATAAACCACCCATCTCTTAACTATGGCATCATTCACCAGAAACACCACAACCCATTACTTGAAATCCTTAATTTTCATCATTTTATTCATAAAAACCCTATCTTTTGACCCAATACCATTGTTTTCCTTTGTTGATTTTGAAAAAGATCTGAAATTTAAGTCCAATGTTGCTTTTTTTGGTAATGCAAAAGTTGTCAATGGTGAGTCCAAGATTCAACTCTCTGATACTGGGAGAGTGATTTACAAGAAACCCGTCAAGCTTTTTCAAGGTAAACCTAAACAATTAGTTTCATTTTCAACTTACTTTACATTTTCAATCTCATTGGAAAGTGGATTGGAAAGTGGGGGTGGTTTAGCTTTTGTTATGATTCCAGATGGTGCTAAAGGTGTTAGAAATGTTAAAGGTGATTTTTTTAATGAAACCTCATCTGGGTTTTCTCTTGGATTGAAAAGTAATGATTTTGAAGTTGTTGGTGTTGAGTTTAGTGTTTCAAGGGATGGTAAAAATGAGATTTTGATTAGAAATGGTGTTTCAAGTAAAATCTATGTCACCAATTTGGTACTAACAAGTGGTGAAAAGATGCATACTTGGATTGATTATGAAGCAAGTTCAATGAGGTTAGAAGTAAGATTGAGTAAAAATGGGAATTCAAAACCATTTGATCCATTGTTATGGGACAAAATTGAAACATCTAATGTGTTGAAGGATGAAGAAATGTTTGTAGGTTTTAGTCCTGTGAAAGAGACTAGTGCTTTTTTGTACTCATGGAGCTTTGTTCTGAGACATTTTCCACCACACTCTATGCATTCAGAGCCACTTGATCCTAAGGTTTTTGTGAAAAACAGTGAGAATCCAATGGTTGTTGAATCAAAGGAAAAGGGTAAGAGTGATTGTTTTTTGAGAGTTCTTGCTGCAATGATATTTGGTACTGGTTGTGGAGCTTTGACAGCATTCAGTGTGCTTTATTTGTGGACAATCTTTGGCAATAAGCGTGGTGCCGTTGTTCCAGAAGGATGTGTTATGCAAGGTTTGGATGGTGATTATAGGAAAGTTAAAATTGTTGTAGATAATAAAACCATTGGAGATGGTAATAAGTAAGATCTTCTTGTGAGAATGAATTATCTTGTTGGAAAATTGGTGTTTGTAAATTTAGTGTTTCTTGTACTTAATAGGTTTTGATCTGTTGTATGATGATTCATAATTTATGTTTTTTTGTTACATTGTCTATTGTTTGTCAAAGTGAGATTGAAATTCAACTTGATTAAATATTGATTGGAAATGAGAAGCTGCAAACTGGAGCTTCTGGCTGAACGCACGTCTGGCTTCCCACCGCGATACCAAACATGCTAGAAATGTATTATTCAGCAAGGATTTAACTTTAATTATTAGCTCATTTTTATAAATATATTAAGTCAGTTTTTTCTATGTCGAGTTGTTACTCTTCGTTCTTGTGTGTAATTCAATCTCTGCTAGTAAATTTTGATTTATTTATTTAGTTATTTATGTTTGTGTTATGTGTATTTGTTAATATTTACTTAATTTGTGTTGGATTAGCTTCATAAGATTATATATGTTATTTGTTTGTTTGACCGTCATTTTCAATCATGAAGATTTGCATTTACATGTTCTCTGTGTTCCTGTCAATATAAAAGAAATATGTCTAAATTATGAGTTGAAGTTGCCAACATCTAAAAACTATCAATTATCTTTTATTAATTCATGATTAATTGTTTTATCAAAATTCTAATGGTTTACATTTGATTCATAATTAAAAAATGTGATAAAAAACATTTTTGTTTAACTGGTTAACCACCAACTCGTTAATAAGCAGGACGGATTGTGATTTTGGACTCAACGATCTAAGTTGATTTAACTTGGTACGTTTCACTTTTCAATGGATTAAGTTGGAGGGTCTAAAATATGGATGATAAAACGGATCCGACTCGTTAGGCATGTTAGTTTTGCCTGTATTTTTTTGTGGGACGGGACAAGGTCACCTTCTAATATGTCGGCTCTACTTCGTCCTGTTTTTTGCAGACACGTACATCAAAATAATTTTTTTATAATTTTAGACATTGAAAGTGAAATGAATGCAACCCTACTTGCACTCATTTTTTGCAGAATGGGTTAAGTTGACTCAATTTATTTCGCCTCACTTTTTGATGGACTAAGTGGGGGAGTCTAAAGTAGGGGTACACATATGGGTCCGGTCTGTCAAACATGTCCGTTTTTCCAACACTTTTTCGTAAGATGGGCCAAGATTTAGACATGCACTCTCTAATATATCTCATCCTTCCCGCTCCATTTTTTTAAAGGCTTTTGCGAGCGCTAGCATTACAATAAAAATTTTCAATTTTAGACTTTGAAACTGCAATGAATGCAGGCATGCCCCTCCCACATTTTTTGCAGGGCAAGTTGAAATTTTGGACTCGATAACCGAATTTGACTCAATTTGTCTCGCCTCACTTTTCGATGGACTAAATGGGGGAGTCTAAAGTAGGGAAGGCAAAACTAGCCCCGTCTATTGGACATGACTGTTTTGCCAAAACTTTTTTGTAGAGTAAATTAAGGTTTAGACCTCCACCCTCTAATATATCTATTCCATCCCACTCGTTTTTTTTATATTTTTGCAGGCGCAAACAATGACATAAAATTTTACAATTTTAGGCTTTAAAAATTTAATGATCATGGATCCGCCCTGCCCCCCAATTTTTATTTTTTTTGCAAGGCTAATCAAAGTCATAGGTCTGCTCCCTCAATTATGCTTGCCCCATCCCAACTTTTTTTTTTTTTCAGACTTTTACATAGCGTGCCTAAACAGGAGAGGCGTTTGCCATGCCTAGTCTAAAGTGGGTGAGTGAGTTTGTTTTCTACCTCTATTAAATGTATTACATTTGTTCAAATGACATTTCATATTTTACTTCTGTATAACAAATTTTTACGAGGTAAAGTATTATATTACACATTTCGTATAAATTTTTTCCAGCCCTGCTGAACCAACTTTACCTGCTTTAGTCATTGAAACAGAGCAACTTCTGGATCACAGACTGATATTTAATGCATTAGTTGTTTAAACAATAACATTGTCTTTCCATACCAACATAAGATGTTACATAGACACAGAAATAAAAACCACACAATTACATAACAGCCGGAGCAAAAGTATCCCCCTTACAACAAAGAGATTATGAACCGGCAACAGGAAGTTGCAGCATAATATGTTATCCATCTAACATATCATCCACCACACACACAACATCAAAGTGCTCATATGTCATCATGTTCTGGATGATACTCTACCTCTTCCTCTTCATCTACATACTCATCATCCTCAGCAGTAGCATCTTGATACTGTTGATATTCTGACACAAGATCGTTCATGTTACTTTCAGCCTCGGTGAATTCCATTTCATCCATACCTTCACCAGTGTACCAATGCAAGAAAGCTTTTCTCCTAAACATAGCAGTGAATTGTTCACTCACCCTACGGAACATTTCCTGAATGGATGTCGAGTTTCCAATGAATGTCGAAGCCATCTTCAAACCAGTTGGGGGAATATCACAAACTGTGGACTTCACATTGTTTGGAATCCATTCCACAAAGTAGGATGAGTTCTTGTTTTGAACATTGATCATTTGTTCATCAACTTCTTTAGTGCTCATTTTGCCTCTGAAGATGGCTGATGCAGTAAGGTATCGTCCATGTCTAGGGTCGGCCGCACACATCATGTTCTTAGCATCCCACATTTGCTGTGTGAGTTCTGGTACACTCAAAGCCCTGTACTGTTGAGAACCTCTTGAAGTCAAAGGTGCAAACCCCAACATGAAAAAGTGGAGACGAGGGAATGGAATCAAATTCACAGCTAGCTTACGAAGATCAGAGTTAAGCTGACCAGGAAACCTTAAACAACATGTAACACCAGACATGGTAGCTGATATCAAATGGTTAAGATCACCAACTGCATCACAAAAACCAAACACCAAAATTATAAACATTATTGAACAGATACAACAAAATCAAAAACATAATTAAAAGAATTGATTGAAAAAAAGGTTATAAACAGCTTACAGCTTGGGGTTGTGAGCTTGAGGGTACGGAAGCAAATATCATACAAGGCTTCATTATCAAGGACCATACATTCATCTGCGTTTTCAACAAGCTGGTGAACAGAGAGAGTAGCATTGTAAGGTTCCACCACCGTATCAGAAACCTTAGGCGAAGGAAAAACGGAGAAAGTAAGCATCATCCTATCAGGGTATTCTTCCCTTATCTTAGAAATCAAAAGGGTACCCATTCCAGATCCAGTTCCTCCACCTAGTGAATGACATACTTGAAAACCTGCACACACAAAAAGATTAAAAAAAACACACCACAGCCATTTCATAATCCGCCACTTATAACCCTTACATGAAAAATCATAAATCATGAAACCCTAAATCCTGAATTCAAAAAATATGAAGTTACCCATTTACAGTTCATAATAGTGAATAACAAAAAAAGCTCCCAACTTTCCTAAGAAACCCACATAAACAAACACTAAAACTCAAAATCATTAACCAAATTTAGAAAAAAACAACGTAGTTCTCATTTCATAAAAGGAAAAAATAAATCACACAATTAGCAACAAAAATCCCAAATTTCTAAAACCATACCCTGCAAGCAATCACAGTTCTCAGCTTCTTTCCGAACAACATCAAGAACAGAATCAATAAGCTCAGCGCCTTCAGTATAATGACCTTTAGCCCAGTTATTCCCAGCACCACTCTGACCAAACACAAAGTTATCCGGTCTAAAGATCTGACCATACGGTCCAGACCGGACACTATCCATAGTACCCGGTTCAAGATCCATGAGAACCGCTCGTGGAACAAACCGGCCACAGCTAGCTTCGTTGTAGTAAACATTGATTCTCTCCAGTTGAAGTTCGGAGTCACCGCCGTATCTTCCGGTAGGGTCGATTCCGTGTTCAGCGCAGACAACTTCCCAGAATTTGGCGCCGATTTGGTTGCCGCACTGGCCACCTTGGATGTGAAGAATCTCACGCATTTTCGGGAAGGGAGAAAGTGAAATTGAAAGAGGGAAATTGGGAATTAGGGTTTGTTTGTTGTGAGAGTGAGAAATGGGTGAGAAAGTGAAAGGGATATTGGTATTTATTTGATTAATTTGAAATTGGGATTTGAAATGAAATTGAAATTTGAAAATTTGAAATGATAGTTGTTTTTGTGGGACCTTTTTTGAGAGGAAGTGTTCTTACTCTTTTACTTTGGTCAACATTCAAACGGCCAAATTTTATTGGATTTGAATCTTTTCTTTTTTTTGAATTAGATTGGTGAAGTAACTTTTTTTCCTATTATAAATTGGAAGAAATAAATTATGCTGCTACTATTTAATTAATATTTTATTTAAATAGAACTAGTTTGTTTCAAAATTTCACAAGGTACAAAAAAATAGAGATAATATATGTTAAGTATTTTAATTGAGAAATTTAAACATGATAAGTATTATTATTAAAATTCTATAAATAACAACATGATGAGTTGGTTTATAATCACTAATAAGCTAACTACTTAAGTTAGCTGAAAAATGGATGATAAATAAAGGATTTAGTTGAAATGAGTTCTAATGTATAAAAAAACTAGAATTTAACTCATTCGTAAAATTAGAATTTCTTATTTTAACTCATTTGAAAAATTAGAATTTATATTTTAAATTTAAATAATTCTGTTTAGATTAATTTTGTTAAATATAGTAGGTCTCAAGTTTAAATATTTAGTTTGGTGTTAGGCAGTCGATAACTAATGTAAAATTTTGTCGAAATTCTATGAACGGTATCAATTACAAAATAATGTGAATGATAGGTCGTTGCTCTGAAGCAACGTGTTGTATGACTCGAGTACAATATCAAAAGAGCAAGGGTCGTTGTGTATCACCAACTGGATGCAGTGAAAAATGAGTAAGGGTTTCTACATTTTTGTGAACGAGTGTGTGTAAAGAAGTTTGTTAATGAGAGTATGATTTGTTTTGGATCATGGAATATAGGCACGCTCTGGAAAACCTATGGAAATAGTACACATTATGGTTAGGAGGAATATGAATT